GATTTTGTACTATAACAAAGCGCCAGAAATCCATTGTGCACAAACTAGTCGATAATTCATTCCCGAAAGAACCGGAGAAATTTGTTAAGAATCTGTCATCCGTCGAGCTAAATCAGCTTCAACTCCAAGCACTTTCGTGAGGCCTTCGCTTTTGTGTTGCGCCTAAGAAAAGCAACAGCACTGAATCGCAGGCACAGTTTAAATATTTTTTCGAACAACTGAAAATGCTGAAAGCAACCTCAAAAGATGCAGAGTCGTGGATAAAAGCGAAACTGGTTGACTTGGAGCGTCAATACCGAATAACACCATCGAAACAAAAGTCACTTCTCACTCCCAAGCATTTATCCACTTTAAAAGAATTAAAGGACAAGTCCGATTTGGTCATTCTAAACCCTGATAAAAGTTCTGGGGCTGTCCTGATGGACCGTGCAGATTACCAACGAAAGATGGAATGTATCCTCAATGACCCAAGCAAGTTCTTACGAAAAAAAGCATGTGATGACCCCAAAGAGCTGGAACGGAAAATTGCCTCTGAAGTTCAGTTTCTATTTGGACATTTCATCCATTAGAACACCGCGCGGGACCTGAAGCCGAGAGGAACTCAGATTCCCCAACTTTATGGCCTACCGAATCTCCACAAGCCAGGTGTGCCACTCAGACCAATTCTATCCATGACGAACTCACCACAGCACAAAATGGCGAAATGGCTGGTCAAAGTGTTAGAACCAGTTCATACATAGATCGAAGGTCAAGCATACAGTCAAGGACAGTTTCGAATTGGTGGATATTTTGAATAAGATCAACGTAGAAGAAAAACACCTGGCTTCCTTCGACGTTCAATCCCTGTTCACTAATGTACCAGTTCGTGAGGTCATATAAATCATCTGCGATCATGTAGAGAAAGAAAATATTCGACTGTGTCCGTCCTCGAGTGTCTACTACTGCTCTGCACAAACGACGTGTCTTTCTCTTTTCAAGGGAATGCGTGCAGGCACATCGATGGTGTCACTATGGGCAGCCCGCTAGGCCCAGTCCTGGCAGACTTGTTCATGGCGAATCTGGAAGAAAAAGGAACTACTATTCTGGGGCGCGCTATCCTGTACAAAAGATACGTCGACGACACTGGTTATAACAGAAAGCTTAGAAGAAGCTATGGAAATTATAGATGAACTCAACAGACTACATCCAAATAAACACTTCACAATGAAATATGAATCTGACAACACACTCAATTTCCTTGACATTACTATGACCAGAAGAGAAAACGGAACGATTGCTCGATCCGTTTATCGAAAGGAAACGTGGACAGGCCAATATTTACACTTCGAGAGCTTTATGCCCCTGGAGTATAAAGGTGGTTTGGTTCGGACCTTATTTGACAGAACGAGACGAATCTGCACGGAAGACAGAATTGAACAAGAACTGCTAAACCTCCGGGAGTTTTTAGCGAAAATCACTTACCCAGTGAGTAGGGCTTCCTCAGCAGAATTGGCTATTTGAG